ATGTAGAATTGGTTGCAATGGTTCCAGTTGATTTTGTAGATTACATTGTTTCTTTCATTCTTTTATATCTTGTCTTTGGTTCTGGATAATTCCTGGTGGAGTGTGGCTGTGGGTTTGTGGGCTTTTGCTATTCCTACGAGTTGGAGAATTCTGGCTGTCATTTCTGACATCCCTTTTGTGTATGGTAAGATTAGTTTTTGCATGATGCTTGGCTGTGTGGTGTGTTATGGTTTGGCTGTTGTGAATCATCTTGCTGGTGACTCCTTAATGTCAATCTGTCACAGTTGGAGTCAGTTCACATAAATACAAACATCCTTGTGACACCATGATCAACTACAAGATACTACTAGTTGTTTAGTAATGATCAAACTTATTGAACTGATAATGACAAAAAAACTATTGTTATCAAGTTATAACAGAATACATCTGAACATATAGAAACAGAACAAATTAAAATATTGTAGTACAATTCCAGGTATGTATGGTTTAGAGCTGACTATTTGCTATATAAAAACAATTCTGCTTTTATTTATCCCTAAACCTCCATAAAACTGTAATTCTCAAAATGTCTTTTAATGTTAGTCCAGATAATTTGAGATACTATAGATCAGCGGTTCTCAACCTATGGGTCGCGACCCCATTTGGGGTCGATCGACCACTTTTCGGGGGTCGCCAAAGGCGTCGATCCGCCATTTTGTCCCCACCGGGGGCGGCCCCGCGCATGCGCGCTGCGCACGGGGGGGCGCCCCCATGCGCGCCGCGCATGCGCATAACGTTTGTGTGATGGGGGTCGCCGTCACACAAACGTTGAGAAACGCTGCTATAGATGGATAGGCAATGACTTTGAAGGACAAAAGGGGTTTTTTAGGCATTTTGTGTATAATGTCTTTAGTGTAGAAACTGAAGAATGTTTAAAGAAAGAACTAAATTAAAGTTTATTGATTGATAAAACAAAAGTGAGACCTAGTGTGGTGTAATGGTTAAAGTGTCAGGTTAGAAACAAAGAGACTATGGGTTCTTGTCCTGACTTGGGCACAAACCCAGCTGGGGGACTTGGGTTAGTACTCAGGACTTAGGAAGGAGACAATGGCAAACCACTTCTGAAAAATCTTGCCAAGAAAACTACAGGGATTAGTCCAGGCAGTTCCCAAGAGTCAACACTGATTCAAAGGTACCCTCCCCCCCCAAAAAAAATCCCAAAGTAAATGGGGTATTTGAAATCAGTTGCTACTTTATCAAGTCTCTTCATAACTGCGTTCTGCATGTAGTTGGGCTAAGAGATCCAGAATAGAAACTGATGCATGGAAATATATTGCTAAGCTATGGTAGGTTGTAGGAGAAAAATCTTACTGAGATTTCTAAACTCCTACTGAAATCCTGGAAACAAAGCTGTGATAGTGGAAAAATAATAAGCAGAGCTCTGACATTAAAGTGCTTGTGTAGAACTGCTTGACTAATTTTAATTTTGATGTGTTATTCTAACTATCCCTTAGGCTCAGGTTTAGTAACAATTTAAAGCTGTAAATCTTAATTTAAAATTAAAGCCTTTTTTCTTTTCATGCTTTAGGTCAGGGGTGTCAAACTCAATTTCACTGAGGGCTGCAACAGCATTGCAGTGGCACTGGGGAGGGCGGGTGGGTGTGGCCAGAGTGGGTGCAGCCTACTGGGTGGGCGTGGATGGAGTGGGTGTGGCCTGGGTGAGCGTGGCCAGTTCTACATCATTCGCGTCAAAAGTGCCTATGGAAGCCTGGGCAGGAGTGGGACAGATCTGAGGGTCTCTGGCAGAAGGGGGTGGGACCGGGGCAAGTGCCAAGGCATGGTCCACCGTGGCAAGTGCCAAGATGGCCGCCACAAAATTGTACATTGGCTCACAGCTGGCCAGGGCCAAGGCAGTGGGGGCCATTCCCTCACTGTTTCCAGGATAGCTTCGTGGGCCACATGAAACCACTTCGCGGGCCTTGTGTTTGACATGTCTGCTCTACGTAGATGACATAATTTGAAAAATAATAGGAATTAATATTTTTCAAAGCAAATTAACAAAGTATAAGTATAGTGTCCATTTAAACAAATCTGGTGAAGGGGAATTTTTCTGGGTAATTAATTCCACTATTGTATTGCTTTTCTTGTAAAAAAAAATGTTCCCTAACATTCAGTGATAATCTGCCTTCCTATAATTTTAGTCGAATATTTTGCGTCTTTCTGTCTGAGAAAGAGAGAGCTAGACTTTTTTCTGTATGACATCCTTGGTCTTCTCTTGTCAAGACTTAAGATGCTGTTCTGTGATAGACTTTGACTATAGAAAAAATGGAACTATTACTTCTCATGATTTAGAATGGATATTTCTATTGATGTAGCCTAAAATTCCACCATGTATGCACACTATCTAAAGAGATTGCTGACCCTTGTGTAATTCATCTGTTGAGATTTTTAAAAAGTTTTATTCCTTACCAGACTTTCTCAGTTCTTTCTTACCAGTTCTTTCTCAGCTTTTAGAATTTGCCTGGTACTGTGTTTTCCCAAAACTAAGACAGGGTCTTTTTTTTTTTTGCACCAAAAGACCCATTAGGTCTTATTTTTGGCAGATGTCTTAATTTGCGGCCACCTGCCCATTCCATCCCACTGTCTGGTTGCTCACAGCTGCAATGGGCTAGGAGAGTGTGCGTCATACCAGTGCCGCCGCCACGAATTGAGACGAAGCAGGTGGGAGGATGGAGCTGCCCTAGCGCCCCACATCTGCTTACCTTGGCCCCACAGCCAGGCCACCCTTGTCTCATCACCTGCCTTGCCTCACGGTGGCACCACCCACCAGCAGCAGGAGCCTCGGCCACCAGGCTGGTTGCTTGCAGTCACAACAGGGCAGAAGAGCATGCATTGCACCGGTGTTGCCACTGCCACGAGGTGAGGTGAGGCAGGTGGGGGGTGGAGCTGCCTCATGTACCCCATACCCGCTTACTTCAGGGTCCCCACAGCCAGGCCATTCCCTGCTTGGCGACCCCCCTCACCTGCTCAATGACCCGGCTGCCTGCCCACCTCTTCCCTTTCATCTGCCTCCCGAGCCAGACTGCATGCTACGGAGGATGAGCAGGGGAGGCTCAGTCGCCTTACCCAGTCCCCCTCCACCATTTTCAAGCCAGAGGAGGAATGATGGTGAAAGGCTCTGCTGTTGCTGTGCGACAGCTGCATCCATTGCTGGAGGGACTTTCTTCGGTCCCAGATGCCTCCGCATTGCCCCACAGATCACCTGCCCGGCAGCCGCCGCTGCCGCCTCCTCTGCCTGCCTCACACTGCCTGCTCCCTGTTTCAGAGCCAGGAGGGAGTGATGGCTGCACAATAGCCGCATCCGCCACTGGAGGGGCTTTTTTCGGTTCTGGCCGCTCCGTTTTGCTCCGCAGATCAACTGCACAATGGCAGCCTCCTCCTTCTCTGCCAACTCTCCTGTGGCTTGCGCTGTGACCAGGCACAGCAAGCCTCCCCTGCTGCCTCCCTCTGCCTGCCAGATACCCGCCAAAGCCGGGTGTCTGGCAGGAGAAGGGAGGAGGCAGAGGAGGCTTGCACCACCCATTCCATTGGCTTCCCCCGTCTGCCCTGGGAAGCTTTGTAAGCCGTTGCAGCTGCGGGCAAGCAGATGGTGGGAGAGAGTGGGTGGGAGGCCACGGGAGATTAACGGTTGGAATGACACTAGTGCAGTCTTTAGAGCGCCCCTGCCACCAGGCCTGGTATAACTCTCCCATTGCTGTGTGAGCAGAGCCACAAATGGGGTTGGTGGCCGAAACCACCAGCCCGGGGATGATGCAGAAAGCCTACCACTGGCCTCCAGAGCTCCGCCATTGAAACTATACAATACAGGCAGCAAATGTGAAGCAGGCAGAGTGATGCAGTGCCACAGGACCCAAGCGGTAGGCAGTGGAGTAGGAGGAAGTGGCTCCTGCTGGGCAGATAATCTACAAGGTGAGGTGGGGCTGGCGCGGCCCAAAGAAAGGCTCTCCAGCAGCAGACGTGGTTGTTGTGAAGCAGCAGTGGAGCCTTTCACAGTCACTCCTCCCTGGCTTTGAAATGGCAGAGGGGGACTGGATAAGGCAACCGAGCCTCCCCCACATATCCTCCATAGCATGGCAGTCTGGCTCAGGAGGGGAGTGAAAGGTAAGAGGTGGGCAGGCAGCCGGGTCATTGAATGGGTCAGGAGAGGCCACTGAGCGGGGAGTGGTCTGTGGGGCCCCTGAGGTAAGCGGGTGTGTGGGGCACGTGGGGCAGTTCCACTCCCCCACCTGCCTCTCCCCAACTCCCGGTGGTACTAGTACGATGTGCACTTTCCTGCCCTATTGTGGCAGTGAGCAACCAGATGGTGGGATGGAGTGGGTAGGCTCTTAACCACGGCTTATTTTTGGGATAGGGCTTGTCTTAGGCGCATGTCAAAAAACCAGGCTATGGCACAGGTGTCAGAGGTGGCACTCAGAGCCCTCTCTATGGGCATGCGCACCGTCATCCAGTCCTATGCCTTCAGCTGCGTTTTATAAACCTTTTCACTTTAGGCCTCCACCACTATGTACAAAAAAAAAAGGTTCAATCAATCAGTCAATTTCAACTTCTTGCGGGAGAAAAAAAAAGATATTGCAGAGTTGGAATTGATTGATTGAACTTTTTAGTCTCAGCCAGTCTGCTGTTACCACCGCAGCCACGCCCACCCAATGGGCCACACCCACCTGGCACCTGATGATGCATAAATGGGTTTTGGGTTGCAGTTTGGGCAGTCGGTCTCTAAAAGGTTCGCCATCACTGGGCTAGGGCTTATTTTCTGGGTGGCTCTTAGTTTCAGGGGAACACTGTAGCATATAATAGTCGAGACTTATGCTTTCTGTATAAATATTGTCTGTTCATGCTTTTCCTGTGTAAGAGTTTTTAGAGAAAATGAGTCTCCTACAAGCCAATAATTTGTATTATTTATATTATTGTCAACACCAGAGATTTTTTGTTAATTGAATGTTACATTCTTTCAATCATAGGCTAAAAACCTAGACTTCCGCCGAAAGTGGGACAAAGATGAATATGAGAAGCTTGCAGAGAAACGACTTACAGAGGAAAGAGAGAAGAAAGATGGTTAGTAGTATGCTGAGTATGCAATGCACTGCTCTAGTTCATTAGTAGTTGCTAAATCAGTTTGTAGAATGGGAAGTGCAAAGGACAACATTTCATAGGGAAGATTTAGCCACCTAAAGTCACCTTGTAGGGGATATGGGCGGCATAATAGATAGATACATAGATAGACAGACTTACAAATAGTCACTTTATTTTATGTTCTTTTAAACATTGTAAAAACCTTATTTCCTGTTTAATTTACTCATATTGAACAATTAAGAAGTTAGGCTTATTTGATCTTAGATTTGGAGGAATTAAAATTAAGTTAAGAACTTTCTTGGGCAATAGAAGCAAAAATAATATTTACTGATTAAAATGAAGGTTTTATATTTCAAGGGTATATCAAATCATTTTCTCATCTATCTGTCTGTCTGTCTATCCTCATTAATTTTTTAAAATTTATATTTTAGGCAAACCAGTACAGCCTATCAAGCGTGAGCTTCTGCGGCATCGAGACTACAAAGTGGATCTGGAATCCAAATTGGGAAAAACTATTGTTATTACCAAAACTACTCCTCAGTCTGAGATGGGAGGGTAAGGTGACAGAGATTTTGTGTATTATTGTACTAAACATCTGATTAACAGAGAAGTTTAGCAAGTAAACTTCCAGTACTCTTTTTTCATAATGTGTTTGGAAAGAGTGGGCAGGTGATTGAACAAACTGAAATGAATCTGAACAAGATTGATAACAGGCTAGAGTGAAAAACTGGATGGATTTTTGGCAATTTCAACTCTACAGTCACCAGGTTGATCACTCTGGTGATGGGGAAGGGCCCAATGTACATTGGTCCTAATTTCTTAGATAGTTATCTGGGCTGCAGAAATTTGGTGGAGAGGTACACTTCTTCTCCGGTTTTAAAATCTTTTTGAAAAGCTTTCTTTTTGCCGGTGTATTTGTTTAAGCCTCCCTCGCATCTTCTAGTGCATTGCGGATGACTGGCCACATATTTTGCAGGATTTTAATCCAATCGACTAGTGAGGTAGTGGCAGAGGGTATGTTGTGGGAATTCTGGCATAGAAGCAAATTCCTAGCTGGTGGCCCCATGGAATGATGTGTACCCCATGCTATTGTGATCCGAATTGTTATCTGCCACTTCTGCAAATGGTAAAAGGTCCACCCTGTCGTTTTGATAGTTAATGTAGCAGCGGAGGTACTGCTCCAGCACTCCATTTGTATGTTCATAAGCTCCATTAGTTTGTGGATGGTGCGAGGAACTAAGTCCTTGAGAGGTTTCCAATAGCTTTAGGAATTCTTGCCAAAATGTAGATGTAAACTGTTACCGTTGGTGTGAAATGATTCTCTCTGGAGCTCCATGGATAATTGTCCCACTTACCAGGGGGTTGTTTTCTCCTTCACTGTCACTCTCCAGAGTAGTCTCAGCTCCCTTGGTCAGAGTTCCCTCACCATCACTAGAGGATGGCGTGAACTCTATGACCTCCACCCCTTTACGGTCTCTGTCTTTAGGTTTGGAGGGGCTTTTGTCCTTCTTTTTAGATCTTCAGGCAGGGGCCAAAACCGGATAGGGCGCTATGCATTCGGTAGCCTGATGGCCCTCGGTAGCATTCTTTGGGATGCCGTCAGGGGCTGAGGCATCATTTGGGGCTCAGTCCTTTTTGGGGTTTCCTTCTTTTCCAGGGAATAAGGTTTTTGGGACTCTTGGCTAATGCGCTCATGAAAAACGACCAGGTTGATTTTGACTTCATTGGCTAGGATATGTCACCCTTGGAGGATTCTCGGTGCCCCTCACAACAGGCAAGTGTAGAACAACTTTCAGTTTAGCCCAACTCAGAAGTAATCGGGTTTCCATTATACTTCACTCCCAGGGGATATCTGTTGGTCTCCCTGTTCCAGAAGAATGGCTAGCACCAGGAGTACAGGTGTTTGGCTCCATTCAGTGAGTCTTCCAGTATCGTGGGTGGGGCATTGGTCTCCCCCTTGCAGCCTTTGGCCAGGTGCCAAAGTCGAACTGGTCAATCCAGGCTCCCTGCTGGGCCCCCAGGGTTTCAGGCTCTCCTTTCACCCCAGGATCTTTCATTTCTTCTGGCTCCTTCTTGGGGAAGGACATACTCACACAATCTCTGTGGTAGTTTGGATATCTGAGTAGACTGCTGTTGCAGATCCAACCTAATGCATTCCATAGTATGACCTTGGAACAGGAGTTGTCTCATGGGATAGCACAAACAGTAGTTTCAATTCCCCTTATCCCAGCCCCCTCCCCCTTTAGCACCCTGCAACTCCCTCCCACTATTGCATATGACAGACTAGTATCTAGCAAAGCATAGCTGGTGCAGCAGAATGGCAGTCCTGACAGTTACTTTAGATGACTATGCATATTCTAAAGTTGCAATCCTCTTTTTTATTTCTTGGGACCAAGGCAGGAAACGCTAGTTTTATTATATAAGTTTGCAAGCTAGATTGTAAAAAACATATCCTGGAATGCCAGATAATCAAGCAGTTACCGTTAGAGCAGTGGTTCTCAACCTTTTTAATGCCGCGAGCCCCAACCGGTCGTAAGTCGAGGACTACTCAACCAGTCGTAAGTCAAGGACTACTCAACGGGTGCAGCACCGTTTGCAGAATGGGACTTTTGGCGGGCTCAGCAGGGCAGAGACAGCCTGGACAATTCCTATTGGCTTTGAAAGCCAATAGAATTAGACTCTATTCAAGAGAGTCTATTCTATTGGCTTTCAAAAGCCAATAGAAGAAAAGAGAGTAGCATAGCTAAGGAAAAGGGGGGAAAAAATGGCGGACTCCGTTGTTTGGCGACCCCCATGAAATGGTCATTCGACCCCAAATGGGGTCCCGATCCACAGATTGAGAACCACTGCATTAGAGGATCTCAGTGATCCCTTTACACAGGCACTGTCCTCTTACATGGCCATTTACCAGGGTCTTCCATTTCTGTAGTTCTGTAGAACAGAAACTTGATCCCAGTCTTCTACCTTTGTTAGACACTTTTGCCTTAATGTTCATGCCAAGATACATGCATCTTATATGTGAACAGTCTCCGTTTCCACTAGGTCTGGCACCTATCTATTGCCAATTGGTAAACGGTCCTTATTTATAAAGTTATGGGTTACCTACGGCTACTACCACACTGTCTGTAAAGGAGGGCGCTTCTATTGCAACTCACAACAATAGTTTCTGTGTAACCATATCACTTAGATGTGGGAATTCATAGACCACTCAAAGAAACACATTCAGAGAAGCAGACAAAGTTGTTTAAAGGGTATTTTATTTTTTCAAGTTTTAGGTAATTGTTCTTTTACTACAGAAGATGATAATAAAGAAGTGTATTTTTATATTTGTTCAATAAATAAATTAAATTAAAATATATTATCATAGGCAGCCTCCAATCATTCAATAAAAATACCATATAAAACATTAAACGATAGAGATCTTAAATTTAAATTTTAGTTAAAATTAAATTGAATAAGATGGAAAGGAAGGGAGTAAAGTACACACAGGGAAGAGGTGGGATGTTATCTAATCCATTAGACATCTCCAGAGTGCCTCATCCCTATTGGGAGCCTAAACCAGTTGGCAAATCCATATCTTCAAGCTGTTTCTGAAGGCCAAAAGGTGGTTGCAGATCTCACCTTGGGAGGCATGATGTTCCAGAGGGCTGGAGACATCGCAGGCTCTTCTTCTTAATCCCACCAGCTGAAATTCCTTGACTGGCAAGCATTCTCCTTTGGCCAGTGTGTAGGGCAGTGTAGTCACATCAGGGTGAGACGGTTCCTCAGATAACCTGGACCCATGATTTACCGGTAATGGCCAACATTTTGAATTGGATTTTGAAGCAAACTAGCAAACTTGAGTAGCTCATGAAACAGTGGTGCAATATGGGCCACCCTAGGGGACCCAAGAACTGCCCACTCAACTGTGTTCTGCAGCAGCTGAAGCTTCCAGATATCTTTTAAGGGTAATCCCATGTAAAGCACATTGCAGTAGTCCAAGTAGCCTTGGAAAAAGGAACCAACCAGCACAAGACTGTGCCAGTCCTAAATCCCACAGCCAGCCCACAAGGATACCATGGTTAATGCTATCAAAGGCCACTGAGAGGTCAAGGAGATCAAGGAGGGATGCACTATCACATCCTGCTCTTGCCAGAGATCATCAGTAAGTGTGACCAGTGCTGTTTCTGTCTCATAACTGGGCCTGAAACCTGACTGGAAAGGATCGAGATAATCCATTTCATCCAGGACCCTCTGAAGCTGCCATGTGACCACCTTCTCTGCCATCTAAAGGGACGGTGGGACACTGGATGGAAAATGCCAGACAGATGGGATCAAGAGATGATTTTTTTGAGGAGGGGGTAAAGCAGGGTCTTGTTAAAAGGTCCTGAAATATCCCCTCCTGCAGTGAAGAATTTATCACTGCCTGAACTCACTTGGCTCTCCCTGTCCTGGAGGCTTTCACCAATCAGGAGGGACAGGAATATAATTGACAGGTGGGTGCACTGACAACATCACGGAGCCTGTTCACTTCATCAGGTTTGACAGGATCAAACTGTAGCAAGATAATTAAGATCTTTCCCCAGGCATGGACCCACATCACGCATGGGTTCCATCTGGGAATGAATCTGAATAACTCTGTCAGGTGTTCAACAAATTCCTTTGAAGATGATCACCCAAGCAGGAGGGACTGGGCGATCCTGAACAGGACTGCTGGGTGACACTTGTGGATGCAACAAGTGTGGAGAACTAATGTGATTTGCCATTCTTATCATCATGAAATAGACCTTAGTAGCAGCTCGAAGCTGTGTCCCATCAAGATTCATCCCTTATTTTCCTCCAGCAGCGCTCTAGGCATCATCTCTTAACCTCATTTCAGAACCCATAGCTCCTCTGTAAGCCACAGGGAATGTTGGGAGTGATGAGTCAAGAGAGACTACACAGGTGCAATCCTGTCCAAAGCCTTGGCCACCCTTTCCAGGATATAACCAGAGCTTTGGCAGGACTGTGCAACAAATCTCCATTTCCTAGAATATTCCCATTCTGGAACACATTTGGGTCTATCAATCGCCAGTACAGACCACCTCAATGGGTCTGGTCTTGTGATGGTGGTGGGGTGCCATAAGAGAATCTCCAGGATACCAGGGCATGAGCTGACTATGATGGGGGAACAATTATAGATCTCCCACCAGATCACGTTGTCATTGCTCTGACAAGATCATATCGGCCTGTGACCATTGTCCTGAATCGGACCCAAGATGATTTGGGAATAGGCCCATGATCACCATGGTAGCCATGAATGCCTGGGCTACTTTCAAGGCCAAACCCAGGGATATCTGGTTGAGGTCTCCCAGGACCATAAGCCTGAGGAACTCTACTGTCAAGCCTGAGACATGAGATGACCCCCAGCAACTGAGGCAGAAAGGTTGCCATGCAAGAGGGTGCTGATACAATAGCAACAATCCCAACTAATCTTATGAGACCAGCTTCAGAAATAGGGTCTCACAACCAGAAACTTGGGAATCAAGGTCCCTGAATGCCAAAAGAGATTCTTGGATAACTACTCCCACCCCATC